GGGGGGGGGGGGGGGGGGGGGGGGGGTAGTTACAGACTTCTCCGTTCCGTGCAAAGTGGGTGTGTGAGATGGGAGAGGGTTCTCCCGTAAAGCGCTGGGGGGGCGGCCTGTCTGGCCGTCTTGGCTAAGGATGTAACCCCTACTCTGGTTCGCGATTGATTGTCGTGGCTGCTTGGTGCGCGCAGTGCCCTTCGAGATTATTTTCTATTTAATTGCGCGTGGGCGGCGGTCGGGCGTCGCTGCTTCGGCAAGCTACATATTTCCATCTTGAGTAGGAAGTGCTGATTGGGTGATACGTACGTCGTAGCATGTTGACTGTGGTAGCATCTTTTTATTTTATTTCTGATTTGGTGCCAGCTCATGGCATGTTGAGTAGAAAGGTGGACTGAGTGACACTTTCTGCATGTTAAGCATCTTGAGTGTTAACGCTGATTGGGTGACGGACGTGCAGCGACCCCGTTTCCAACGGCAGGAGTAAGAGCGGTTTTTGACGAGGAGGCTGCTGACAAAGGAGGAAAATCAGGGGGGAGGGGTATAGTACTCTTGTTTTTGGTCGGGGGGGGGAGGGGCACGGGAAGATTTGACACGTCCATCCATCTGGTCGCACATGGTGAATTTCCTCTAGTCGACCACTTGCGGGGGGGGAACGAAGGACGTGCGCGTGTGTGCCATGGGGAGCTAAATCATCACGTTCTTGGAGTGTTTCATCTTGTTTTTCTTTCTGCTGGGAATCGTCGAAGGGGAGGGGGGGGCATCGCGAAATGTGCTTGTTGGTCGGCTGGTGCTATTGGTCCTTGGAGGGCTGAACCAAGTAGCCGACAACTTCAAGTTTGGACCGAGGCTTGTCTGCCGAATTATTCTCCAACTATCTGCGAGTGGTTCAGAGGCTGGCCCGTCCCCATGTCTGCAGGGTGTGAAGCCCGGAGGGGGGCAAAAGGGGAAAATTGCTTTTATGGTCGGCTTGTGGATCGGCCCTTGGAGGGCTGAACGAACTCGCCGACAACTAACACTTTCACGTTTGGGCTTGGGGCTTGTCTGCAATGTATGGGTGCTCCAACTACTAAATTACCGCGGGTTGTTCAGAGGCGGGGCCTTTTTCATGTATACAGGGTGTGGAGCCGGTCAGCGAAGAACACCAAGCCATGCGAAACCATGATCGATGAACGTTCGTGGAATGTTTCCCGGCTCCTTGGGGTTTCGCGAGGATTCTAATAATTCTTTTCCACAATTGATTTGATCAATTATCGTTTTTCTGCTCCGATTCCGATTAGATTAATTACTGACTGTGTCTTGGTTCAGATTCCGAGTCGCAGCTGACTGAGCAAGGAGCTCTACATAAGAATAGCTGCTTGCTTCCTTTGGCTCAGACTCCGAGAGTAGTTAAGGAGCTCTGCATGCATGGTGGTTCTTTTTGGTAGGCGTGGTGCTTGTTTTGTTTTGTTTTCCCCGAGACCCTTGCTCTTTTGGCCTCCCTTGTTTTTTTGTTGTTGTTGTGCTTTGTTTTTTGGGCAACTTTTTCTCTCTTCCCGCGATGGCAATTAATTATTTCTATTGGGTTATGTCTCATTTGACATGCGTGGCTTTCTTTGGGTGATGTGCCATTACGTATCTTGTGGCTTGGAGTGTCGATGGGTAATTCATTTGTTCGAAGCACGGAGAGGAGACATAGATGTGAAATGGCGGATACAGGTGCCCGACAGGCTGTGCTGTTGTTAAGGCGGCAGCAACAGGTGCCAGGCGTAGAGCCTACGATGCGGGCACTGCTCACGACGAAGTGTTCGCAATCGTTCTGCTTCCGTAAGACGTGGTATGTTGTACTCAGAGTGAGGGAATGCGTCAAGATTGACATGCAGCAAATTCGATTGCAGCGGGTATATTTTTTGTCGACCTTGCCTGGGCATTGCTGTCCCTCTCAAGATGAACATTGACGCAGAGGCACGCATGCACCGCGGAACGATGGTGATGTGAGGTCTGGCAACGATGGTCGCACTTGACAACAGCGAAACGGCAAGTTTGACGCCGGCCCTACGTACCCACCCCGCGAACGTCGGATAGAGAGAAAAGGACCGAGATCGATACATTACCGATCCAATGAAACACTGTTTGTCCGGAGGAACCGGTCAACCGCTTTGAAATGATAAGGAGGGATTATTATTATTTCTTGACGTACGTGGACCAGCCACCGTTGCTCTTTTGTTCTGGCCTGCGACCGACCAATCGGTCCCCGCATTCATGGGCGGGCAACGGACAGACCACATCCCACCAATTGCAGTTAACCTCGGCATCGTGAATCTTCGATCATTTCCCAATTCCAAGCGTGGGCCAACACTAAGAAGTACAGCAGTGGCGTGCATTTGCTGTCTTGTACACCCAACGACTAAAGAACGAAAAACAAACATGCCAGGCGGAAGGAAATATCTCTTCGCTTTACTTTACTTCTCTTGCCATGTTTCCCACGAAAGAAAGTGTCCAGACACAGCCGTCCCCGCGCTTAAGACCATTCATGACTTCCCTCTTCACAAGTGTCGCTAGAAGCGGCGAAATGCGCTTGAAACTAGACGCCCGTACAAAGTGTTTTGCATTTCGCGGACGCCATGCTTGTGATGAAATATGTTCTCCTTGACGGGAGTGTTCGTCATTTCGGTTCCTTCAAGGTTAGCACGACTACGGCATGCCGGAGGTCAAAAAGGGCAACAACACAAACGAACCACACCCATGATTTGTGCAATCCTCGTGCATACCCACGGCCGTAATCTGTCATAGGCAGCTCTAGAAGGAAAAAGAGGATGCCCTCCTTACCGGCATGTGTTTACATCACTACTTGAACCACCGCAAACGCCGAGCTTAAGACCGGTTACTATTCTGTTATTTGGACTTCTTGGACTCGCTCCTGAAGCACACGGTACATCATCCAGGACAGAGTAGCCATGACCATGACCGACAACACCAGCCACAACAGCAGCAGCAGCAGCAACAGCAGCAGTAGACAACACCACCGACCGCAGAGTTTCATCGGTAGGGCAATGGGCGAAAGCGGAAGGGGCGCGGAGTGGGGGGGGG